TAGAGTATGAGAAATAGTTGTGCCTTTTATACAAAAATGCGACATGTTTGAGACCCCTGATACGAGGTAATATACGTGTTGCATGTCGCTTCGTTTTTTTGCTCTCTGGATGGGAGTGGGCTGTCGAACAGTCGAGATGGACGCATGCGGGTGTTTGAACTCTGGAGAGGGGGCCCACAGCTAGCTCCAGCCCCCCACAGTCACCCCGAGACTCGGGGATCAGGCATCACCAACGTACAGCTCCACAGAACGGTTCGCTTTGAACAAATCTAAAACAGCAGATAAGAGCGCAGTTGTCATGACGAAAATGTATGATAAAAGAATGCACTGAACATTGTGACCCTTTATTAGTATATCTCTAGAAAATGGGCGTCTTCTGGGATGTTGCGGCGTGTAGCGTGGTAGAGTTTACCGGCGTTTCAGAGGTGTTTACTGCCTCCATTACCAGGGCGATAGCCTTATTTGTGGTAAAAGCTATTAATTTACGTTTTCACGTGTTAAAAATTAAGGTCTTAGATGTTACAAATCTTTTATTATTACAATAAAAGTATACCACATATAGTTTACAGAAACTTCCGTGTTGTTTTTGTCTTACTACGTCTTCAAGACTTTAAAAGCATCGTTACTCTCCATAAGACCAACATCGGTTGTCTCTTTTGGTCAGTGTTGCTAGGACCATTCATCTTTCATGCGTCCAGTCCAATAGATCTCTCGGCCGAAGTTGTTAAAAGACGTCTGATGGTTGGGAAGTTGTAGTCTTCGGCAGTTAACGTACTTATCAGTCAGTGATAAACATGTTGACAGGAGATGCAGCTAGGCTCATCTCTACATAATCATCACACCTGCAATTTGAACTTTGTACTGCGCGTTTCCTTTAAATGACCCACCGGTTGTCGCAGTTGGGTCGTAAGTTTGTTTTCTGAAGTGAACTGTCAGCGTGAAGCCAGTCCGACAGTGTGAGGCCAGATGGCTCAGTAAGAGATCTCACGAAATAAAGAGCACCTCCAGATACATGCGAACCTCTTCTTTGCATGACATTGAATAGCGTTCACTTATATAGTATTTCCGGTTCTTTCTGGAGGCTGAGAGCCTGTCTTAAGTCGATATGAAACTTCTGCGTAGGTTTGACTTGGACAGGAAGATTCTTACAGTAGTTCTGCGTGTGGACTATACGTACAGTTTCCTGTTTTACGAAGGTTTTCTGATTTCATTTGCTGTGGGAACTTCAATCAGTTTTATGTAGTGCATTCTTGTCCTTCAGTTTTTGTGGCTGGTGTTCACTGCAGAACTTTCCGAAACGTGGGATAACGTGCGATTTTCGGCGGGATTTATCCCCGAAAGCCGAAGTTTTATAATACATTATGTAGTGAATATTTCGTAATTTAAGTACATAGCAGCAAGGGGTCCGAATTTGTTTGTTATTAAACGTAAGGTGAAAGTAATTAAATATTTGTCACTGTAATGAAACCAGTCACCTGAAGACGGGAGTAGAACCAACTCCCGAAACGTCTATCCGATATTTATCATTTGACAGTGTCTGACGCGGTGTGTCGTGGCCAGGTAATAACACTCTTAATTCATATTAGGGAGGGTCTGGGTTTAAATCTCGGCTTCAAAACCGGCTGTCCTGAGTAAGATTCTTCGTAGTTTTCCTGAGCCCCTCCAGGCAAATATGTGTATGGTACGTTGAATTAAGGCACGATCGATTCCTTCCATGCCCTTCACCATTATAATAATATTACGTTATTAAATAAACCACAGGTAGCTTGTGTTTAATAATGTTAATTATGGTGTCGTAAGTTATTTTAAACTGTCCTTTGATGAAGTATATAGTTCCAGTTGGGCTATTTCGATCTTGCCTTGTAGTACTTCTGTGGTAATTTCACCCAGTACTTTTGTGAATTAAGCTTGAATTCTGTAGCGTGATAAAAATGGTAATTTTTTTAAAAAAAACTTTCTTTGGTGAGGTCCCTCTCCGAACCTGTTTATTATTGATAATGTCTTCCTGCAACATTTGCCTTTCACGTTGTGGTTTTCGCAAGCCGTCTAGGCTTCTGATTCTGTGTCTTGGAATCTCTGGTGAAAACATGCGAGGACCGCCGTAGGACAGGCAAATTTGAATTCAAGCGATTATAATTTTGGCAACATTTTTCTATGTATCCATTCATCAACCTACACGGACTCCATGCGATATCCTTCGTTAATTTTCGTAACCCATACAACAGGAAATGAGGGTTAATGAACTTGCCTGTAGCAACGAACAGTATTTTTACAAGTGTCCCAAAGCTTTTATAGACTTAGGCCCTTTTCTATATTATACAATCTGTAGTTATGTTTTGGCATGCTGGTGATAATTAACGAACTATTGGAGGTAGGCATTTGAAAATTTGAGTATATATAGATCATAAACATAAATATGAAACATTTTTATATATTAGCAGTAACATTCATGGCTACTGTGCAGACGTTTGAGGTTGTATCTGACAAACTTGAATGCCGTGGTGATTTCTTGAAACAGGCCACTGTCACTGTTCTCCTCAGTCCCACCCGACTCGGCAGTCATAATCACCCTATCTTAGCTCATTCTCTTCAGGAACACGAAACACATTAAAGAATGCTATCAAAAATTGAACGGGCTTTAAGAAACACGTCTTATGTAGAAAAATAATAGCCCTTCTGTGGTCGTGTCATAACTCAGACTTTGGTTCGCGTCTAGGTCGGTCCATGCAGGGTTTCTGATGGACGAAGTCGCACTAGGACACGTTTTACTTGAGTCCTTCGGTTTTACGCTGCCAGTATTGCTCCACCGCTGCTCCATACTCACGTATCATCTCGGGATGGACATTGGTCCCCTTAGCGACCGCAGCTCTATGGACGCATTGTCCCCTTCGCATGTCCTGTTCGCACGTCTTTCCTCTGTACGTTTTTAAAAAAGTTTTGTGTACGTGTGTTGGTTAACGCTGTTTAATAAAATGATGACTCTTTATTCTGATAATTATATTAAACACATAAATGCACTCTGTGAAGAAAAGTAGAGTTATTGGTCAGCTACCACAATTTATAAAGGGTTAATAGGATATAAATTCAGTTCTTGTAGGAACATTTTTGCGACCTTGAGATCATACTCCTTGCTCGCATTCTTATCGCAGTGTTGACTGGTTTTTATTCCAGGAACCATTGATAAATCTAGGTAATAAGCAGTGTTGTCGCTCGGCTATGCAACCAAGAGTAACGAATGCAGTTGTGGATAGGACATTCCGTAGGATTCTTCTTTCCTGTTATGCAGACTCGTACTTGTTATATTCTTCGCTTCAGAGCAAATGAGACTACTTTTCACGTTGTTCTTGCTGATAAAAACAGGCATAATAATCATCTTACCGCTGTTCTTTTGTGTTGCATCGGTTCGGAACTGCCATTGTCTTCCATTTACCCACATTTACGTCTCAAATTATAAATCCATAAAATGTTTACAGTTTGCTTATTCTTAGAAACCTCAGCATTGATTTATTTTCCCCCACTTTTTGCGTTGTGTTAGCTAGTATGTGTTTGTTTATTTTATTTGTTTGGTTAGTCATCGTTTTACAATTGTCCTAAAATTGCAAGGCATGTTCCAAGATGTCTTGTAAATGATTACGTAACTTGACAGAACTATTCCTACGGAAAATGAATCCAAGATTCTAATTTAAAATTATAAGGAGATGCGTTCTGAGGTTCTTGCTTCAGATGGGCTCGCTGTGATTCTGCGTATCTGTTTGTCCTTTAGTACATGGAGTTTTAAACTTTTCCACAAAGTTTTCTGGAAACTAGAGTATACGACCCTCTGACAGAAAAAAAAAATTCGTGATTTTCCTGGCCTACTGTGTGACAAAACAGTGAACCTACATTATAATTATTTAATTTCAACTTGAAAATCGTGCGACCCACATTTTGATAACCACTGCTGTAGTGCGTTCCTGTATTGTGTACCTGGCTGCGTCTTTTTCCTAAATAGGTCCATAAAGTTGTATTTTGGAAAAGAAAAAAGAGTGGATAATAAGTCTGATCGACAATCCGTACGACTCAATTTACCTGAGCTGAAATTAACTTTCTCGTCTCACAAATATATACGTACAAGATGAATATTTATATTCATTTGTCGTAGCATACATTTAGTATTTTCAACAGTAAAGGATGCGTGAATATGTACGCATTTGCATTTGCACGCAACGTAGTGTGGGTGTCTATATCACACAAATGCAGCTAAGCGTGAACTGTGAAGTAAAGTATAATTTGCAAGCATTTATTTTGATGATTACGTGTTGACATTAGGAGTTAAATTCTGCTGAGACTTATTTTAGAGCTCATTGTTCAGAACTACGTGCGTGAAACAGATTTCTAACCTCCCACCGTCCCAGGAAAGAAAGTTTGTACGAGCAACTCTGTCTAAAATGAGCATTTTGTTTTTATACAGCCATTAAATTTCAACAACCTGTTGCTCATTTCGTTGAATAAGAGTATTTTCGAAAATTGTGTTGTGTTTCACACGTTTCGTCTGACATTAATTTTTGACTGATTCTATATGAGGCTATACGGGCTTCCCAGCGTATACTTAGTACATAAAAAACTGACTAAGAAACTTGTCTCGCGGATACAATTCCTGTCTCCTATTACCTAGCTTCGAATCTCATCTAGGGTATTTGATATCCTAACAGGATATCACGTATCATGTGTATGTACGTGTGTTCCAAGTTCCTAGATGTGTAGTGAGATTATTGAATCGATTTCGGGTAGCGTGAAGTACGTCTTAATCGATTGAGTGACTGAGAAGCGAGAATTGGACGCATGACAGACAAATTCGTTCAAAAGTAGTTTCGTGTCTAGGCCTGAATACACAGTTCTAACTACATGTTCTGATGTTTAAGTGAAGAGATAACGTGGATGCTGATTATAGCTGACCTGCCGCGTGGTCCAACGCGTCTGTCTTCAAGAATCACTGCACGGTGTGTGTTTTCGTGTTGCAGGTAAAATGTACGCTGTGCTCGGACGTCGCCATGGACGGGTTCTTCACGGCGACATGCAGGAAGGATCTAGCACATTCACAGTCACCGCTGTGCTACCCGTCGTCGAGAGTTTCGAGTTTGCTCCCGAGATTCGCAAGCAGACGTCAGGGCTGGCAAGTCCTCAGCTCGTCTTCAGCCATTGGGAGGTAAGTGGATGTCATCAGAAGTCGTAGATGTCGAAATATCGTACGTAATTCCCCCCTCCCTCAAAATGCCCGTTTAACTTTGCGTTGTCAGAAGGAAGCATGGCTCTACTACTGCTCTGGTGCATTCGAAAGCTAAATTGTACACGAACTTGTAACGAGGTAAAGGATATGAGTGGCCAGCTTCACGCCTAGGCCGTTTCACCCGCGTCTGAGTCTAAACCAACAACCAACAACGCCTGGCTGGGTTGTGCTGCTTAAAGGTGTTTTTTATCTGATCGGTTTTGCCGTGTTCCAGTGTGTGGATTATCACTGAATCACGAAAGCAAGATAATACTTTTGTAAGTGTTAGCCGGTGTAACACGGTTAACATGAACGCTTCTCTCTGGTTGAGAGGTTTCCGATGCTGTGGGCAGGATAATTCTGTTCTTGGAGTGTCGCGTCTGCCTTGCAGTTTGAACGCAATATGGCGCAACCGAGCAAGAGAACGGATTGTATTCCATCGACATACCAGCTTCTTGCTGCAGCGGTCCGCGGTTTTTGTCCCGTCGCCCAACCTAGAATATATGTTTCTGATTTCATAACGTATTTGCTTCGTTGTATGGTAAGACAGAATATGAAATTTTTTTATATACTGTTTTATGCAGACATTTGTGGTCACATTTCTTGTACTTGTTATAGTATGAAGTTCCCGTCTTGCGGGTTCTGTTCTCGATGTTTTCTGACTTCGTATTTCCTGATCTCCTTGTGTAAATTAACATAATGTTGTTATTCAGATGTTTTTAACAAGAAGTTCCTAGAAAGATAACTTCAAATATCCGTCATTTTTACACGGTACTGTTTTTTATAAGCAGCCCATAGAGCTGTAGGCTTTGTTTGATCCAGTATAAAAACCTTACGTTGTAAGATTTGAGGTTTTCACAGCGATGAGTATGAAGATTTCTGTTTTCTGGGTTCTTATGCCATGTAGTCTGGTAGATGTTTACCAACGTACTGCCTCCATCATCAGGGCGATGAATGTGCCTGATGACGGAGGCACTATGACCTCTGAAACGTTGGTTAACATCGACCAGACTACACAGCGCAACAACCCAGAAGACAGAAATCTTCATCGCCCTGATGACGGAGGCAGTATTACCTCTGAAACGTTGGTTAATATCGACCAGACTACACAGCGCAACAACCCAGAAGACAGAAATCTTCAAACCTTACGTTGTTGACCTGAGGCTTAATTTTTCATTGCCTTCTTCCGGCTCACTACTTCGGATTGTCTGAAAACTGAAGCCATTGACGAGCTGTTCGTAATTTTTTAGTGTTATACGAGATTAATAATTCAATGGCTGTTAATCTGAGCATTACACCGCCTTCTTTATACGGTAGGTAACTTTTGGCCTGTAACTTTCTTGAATGAGCTTCGGCTTTTCCTTCCATGAGAAATTTGAAAATTATTTTTACGTTAGTTTCATTAATAATAATAATTGGTGATGCTGCAAGTAAATTATCGTGATTGCCTGTTGAATATTGCATTTTTGGGCGTGATATGAGAAGAGGTGTCGTGTAAGAAACATGTGGATCGGTTGATGGAAAAGTGAATTGGCCTTATAACTCATGGTAATATGTTCCGTCCTGGAGGCCTATTGGTTTGAGGAGGGAGAAGATATATGTGAGTAACAGGTTGAGGATCACAGACTTGGAGCCATTTTGACCGTACCTCCCTTTACCTATTTCACACTCTGAAAACGAATAAAGACAATATTCTTTATTTTGCGTCATATTATCATTATCTGAAAGATAAATTTTAATATTCGAGACTGTTTTCAGTGCGTTCTGAGATTGTGGAGGTACACCGTCGCTAAAAGACATCAGAATTATTTTGCTGTAAGAAGAAGAAGAATTCTTCGATTTGTATAGATTTCTCTGCCAACCGTGGAAGAGTAAAAAACATTTATTCCTGTGAAGCGTACAATAAATTGACGTAGTACGACGAAGGCTTAAGTTCCTGTTCGTGATTAAGAGATTATTATAATTTCTTACACTGATACATATAAAAGTATGAAAATGTTTTAGAGATTTTAGACTGAAGACATTTGCATGGAGAAATATAGAATTATGCCAGCCATTACAAGTCATATTTTGTACATTTTTTATAGTTTGACCGTGGTACTCTGCTCTAATGTATACAGATTATGAAGCTCCTCACAATTTTGTGCAGTCTCCTGGTACTTACTCTTTCATAGATACAAACATCCACACTACTCTGTTCTAAAATATCCTTATTTTATGTAAAATCTGGGGTTTTCATGGCGGTTAAGATGATTTCTGGGTTTTGATACCATACAGGCTTGTAGGCAGAGGAACGAGATCGAGTGCCACACAGTCCATACTTTCAATAACCGTGCTTAAGGTTAAATTTTACTTGTGTAAGATTCAGGTTCTCAGAGCGGCGAGTATGAAGATGTCCGTCCTCTGAGTCGTCGTGCCATGTAGTCTGGTAGATTACCGACGTCTCGGATTTTTTCCTGCTGCCTCCGTCATCAGGTCGATCGCCCTGATGAAACGTCTACCAGACTACACTGCGCAACAACCCAGAAGACAGTCATCTTTGTTTTATTTTTTTATCTTTGCGTTTTTGTATTATATTCGACATGACAAAATATTGTGAACTGAGTGTTAGAGAGTATTTCCCGAATTTAATTTCCTCTTAAGTTCTTCGTGAATGAAAGTTTCTCTCGTTCCCATGTACTTGAACTTTGCCACATTTTCGAATTAGTTATTATCGATATTTATATTAAGATTCTGCCTCTGATTTTACTTCTAGAGGCCAACCTCCGAATTGACTGTTATAGAGCTTATGGTGTTTATTATTTATGGTGCCGGTAGTTGCTTCTTCGTCCGATAAATTGCCATCATAAACACAAGCCAGTAGCTGATGTGTCCCATTCAGTTCATTATTACCATCACGGATGTTGTAAACGTCCACACTAATAGCCTGCATGAATCGTAAAAGAATCTGTGACCAATTGACTCTCAAGCGTATACCCAAATAAAGAAAGTCAACTTTTTGTGCTGACTGGTTGTTTCCAAACGCTGGTTTGTATTTTTCTGAGTGTTAAAAAAATTCTCCTATACAAGGTCGTTCCATTCATTATTCTTTGACCTGCAAGAAATGAACTTAGTTTTCTTTCTTATTCAGATGTCAAATCAGATAACAGAAGTTGTTCGATCCCATACAATACACAGCCTTTTTGTAAATCAGTACACGCCAAGAAGCAGGTGCTATAAGATAACCCACCCGTCCCGCTGTGTTTGAACGTGACGGTACTCCATTTGTATCTAGTTAACAACAAGAACACAAGACCAGTAGCTAGCTAGCCAGGTGCAGCGTCCATCAGCAGCGCAGCAGTCTGTTAGAAGGGAATACAGACAGATAAACTGGGCGAGATGATTACAGGTACAGCCTGTGCAACAAGTTTCATCTCCGCTAGTCTCCCACCACTTCCACACCCGCTGTTCGCATTTACCATCGTCCGTGAGCGGAAATCTTTTTATTAAGATATGGCAACAGTATAATTTGAGATTGTCACGGTGGCGAACTACGAATTTGGCTGTATTCTGGGTTGTAGCGGCTTGTAGTCTGGTATGTTTGCTGACCTTTCAGAGGATTTTGCTGCCTCCCACTTCCGGGCGATGAGGCCCTGATCACTGTGATGGTGCAGGCAGCAAGCACCTCTGAAGCGCTGGTAAACTTCTGCAAGACTACACGGCGCTACAACCCAGAAGACAGCCAACCATCAACAAACCTCAAATCCTGCTTTTCATTGGGGACGTTAAATGGGTGGAAAGTACGTCCATCGAAGGCTGCAGTTCAGTTGACACCACCCTGAGGTTAGATTACGTGATACCCGTGTCGCTGAAATTTCGAAATTATATTTTGCACATTTTTTATCGCCTTCACATCTTCATAACCGTAGTTATCTGAGTGATTATTCTCATGTCACGTTGAGGTCACTGTTAGGCCAAGGTCATGGCAAAGTCATAACAAAATCGCCCCAATAGTTTTCCAGATACAGGTCTTTAAAATTCTCAAGGTCATATTTTTTCACGCTTATTTCTGCCAAACCGTAAATACCTGATTGACCATATTCATGTCAAAATGAGATCATCTATAGGTCAACGTCATGTCAAGACCATGACAAGATCACGCAAACTGTTTGAGAATTAGAGGCCTAAAACTTTTCAAGGCCATTCGAAATACTATTTTCTCACGCATATATTACATAGAGAACTGTAGGAATCTGAGTGGCATTGCACACATCATTTAGAGGTCATATATATATATATATCAAGGTCATGTGAAGGTCACAATATATACTCAGTGCCTAATTTGTGTTGGGATAGATTATGTTAGGTTCGGTTGGGTTAGGTTAGTTTAAGGCAGGTCAGATCAGTACGTCCTCGAATCTTTAGGTTGTCGTGTTTTGTCATCCCCTTCATAGTATTTTAAATAGGTCACGACCGTTTCTAAATCGATTCCGGATTATCAGTTACGACACTGTATAACCTGTGCGACTGAAAAAGTGGCAGTACATAAACAATAGAGTGACAAGATGAATCGGTTCGAGGCGACGAGATTAATCAATCTCCCAATTGGTGTCTTCCCTTCAGGTTTCGTGTGCACTTTCATCTCTTCCATGCGTGCTTTGAGGTGATCTGAATCTGTTGAAGCTATTTTACTACGAACTCCTCTGCTCGTTCCGTCTTGCGTTTTGACACAATAATCACGCAATAGTTTGACTTGGTGGAACAATGGAATTTTGCTTTTATATATAGCAACAACGAGGATACTAAATCACTGTCCCAATGAATGAATTGACGTTTGAACTTGCTTTGAAAAGGCCTTGTTTTATATATATCTTATATAAGTGACGTATTTATTGCGCCCATATCACAAGCAGGCTCTTTGGTGGTTACGTCTTGTCTGGACTGGACCAGCACTTGTGATG